TCTTGTGTTTGAATTCTGTTGACAAACTGGGAATGGAAATGGAAATGTTCGAGAATTGAATTTGGTTTATCATCAATTTTATTGTCACTAGGCATTTATGTGCGATTATTTTAGTTGTTTGCTTTTATCGTCCAGTTCTGGACTAGAATACAATGCCGCTGGCATCGACCCGATATGGCTCGTAGCATTTAATTTATAGTTGAGGCAAACGCCAAATTTTGATTTATTGGTCCAAAGGTTATTGACCACCATTGACTACCACTATGCTGGGCATATTATTCAGTTGTACCTCCACCTCTTCCAGCTGGTTGTGGTTGTTGTTTAATCACTACAATTATGGTGGCTCTGTCCCGATTCATTTATGCGTCCAATACATGACGGCGATAAATCATCACCGGAATTCAAATGAAAACCCTCAAACACTTTCCTATTCTGAAAGCTAATAACCGAACCAAGAGTCCAGGCTCTGGACTATATACTATAGAATAGAGTATTCTATACTATCCCAACATCCCAATTACGCGTGCATTTTACTTCATTGTGTGCATACAAGTTTGCAATTATTTGAATTTTCCATCCCCCAGAAACCTAAAAAATGTTTCCAATACACGAAACCCGCCTGCAACTGTTGCACATTTCTCTCATTTGTCTGTGCCCCCTCCTGTTCTTGCAGCATTCTGTTCTGCTGCATTCAAGAGGATTGCGGTTAAACATGCAGCAACAACAACAGCAACAAAAAGTGGCAAACAAACAAACAGCAAGAACGTAGACAGAAGTGGGATATTCATAGGGGAATATTTAAGGCCCATCGCCCAAACACGCAACGGGCCATTCTGAGACCGAAACGGTAAAATGCGTGCTCGGATGAGGCCCGGCCCAGCTCCCAGCTCCCAGCTCCCAGAATCTGAATCTCCGACCTCTTGGCCATCCTACCCCTCTTACCCGCTCCCACAAATCGACTTCGAGGCAATGCCAGTGGCTGAGGCAAGGCGAGACTCGATAAGTCTAGGTGAGTCTTGGTGAGGCCCAGGTGGAGCGGGCCTGTTGGAAACTTTTGCTTATTTAACTGTTATTTCTTTATGCAGACCACAGAGTCAGCAACGGGAGCTGGAACAGCTTTTCATTTTTAACTGCTAGACGTGTCTCAGTAGTTTACTGTAACAACGATGAGCGCATGTGCAGCAGAGGCAGAATCAGAAGCTGAAGCTGAAGCTGAAGCAGAGGCGGCAGTAGAATCAGCGGCAGCAACACTTGCCCCGGGGCCAGAGATTGTTAGCCCGATTATCAGTCAGCCAAGCAATCGACTCGACTCCATTCACAGTCTCACTGTCAGCATCTCCATTTGTCCATAGACGCAGAGCTCACTGTGCCGAGCACATGTGCGAGCATCTGTGTATCTGTGCTCTCGAGTGTCTGCGCGTCGCGTCGCTATGGGGATTGAAGTTGTATTGGAGTGCAGCTTCGTCGGCGGCACAAGTGCATTTCACTTCTGCTTCAGCGCGTATTCTTGCAGGAAATTAATTCCAGTGAACGATGCCCCGCCTCTCGGTGTGGAGGCCTGTTGCTGCCTGCTTAAGGAGCATTTAACGTAAGCGGATTTATGTGAGAGGTTCAGCTGAGCATCTCATTAGCATGTGGGTGTCGACTGCCTGTGAAGACGCGGATGGTGCCTATGTCGATGATGATCAAGCTGATTTCCAGCTTACTCAGAAGTTTACCGTGCCCGTGCCCGTGCCCGTGGCCCCAACCATTGCATGATGATTATGTTGATGCATCGTCACAGTTGCACATGTGCATAACGGTGCAGTCAAAGGCGCGTAATTGATTTGTCATTCGGCGGGTCTCTGGAAACGCAACCAAATTGGAGAACCAACCCAATGGGCAAACAAAACCGTGCAACCCAAATCGATAATGCATTTTAAATGAACAGACAGACAGACATGCATTTGGTCGAAAATCCAATTGACGGTGCAGGCAACGGGGTCAGAATGCAGTAGTCTCGTCAATGTGTTATTATTGACAAATGAAAATGTCAAAATGAAAAATTAACTGCAAATCAACGGCTAAAACCGCAGCAGGAGAAGCCACACCAACAAATGACAATTGAAAATGTCAAAATTCACGAGCCCAACAAACGTGTAGAAGAGGTAAGAGGCCATGCCATCATGGGAGACTGCGCCTGCGACTGGCCAAATGGGCGTAATGGAGCCGAAGCCATCCGAGTACCAACCAACTAACCAACCAACCAACCAACCAACCAAAAGTTGCATGTTACAAAAGGCGCGCTAGTAAAACGGTCAGCCAAATTGTATCGCCAGCAGCAGCGCCAGAAAGGAGCTCGAGCAACAGCAGTAGCAACTACAACAACCATACCAACAACAACATTGGTGGCATGCCTATGCCTGTCATCGATGGCCAGTGAATGCCGACACTCAAACAGCGCGACATTTGAATGCGAGTGCCACCGTGTTGGTGTTACTCGTGTTGTTGCTGCTGCTGTTTCTGTTGCAATGACCACTTGATAAATGATAAATTAATCTGGTATTGCCAAATGGCATAGTTGCGCCCATAGAATCCCCTAAGAGAATACCAACCAGTGCAGTGGTTGGTAAGCTGGCGAATATGTCAATGGGAATCATCGCCAAGTACCAGTAGATTGTAATAAATGCAATAGTTTTCACCAGAACACAGCCTCGATTTTTCTCGATTGCAACTTCAATCAAATGATAAATGATCAATTAATCGGGGCTGTTGTCAAAAGACACATCTGTTCTCATTGTACACAACAATTCACTAGTTGATATCAATTGTTGATAATCAATGAAAAAGGTTCCTTCAACTTCAATTATGTTGCTTCAAAGAGCATTCAAATTTGGTTTTATCATATGATTAATATTTTCGTGTTTTGGCACTTGAATCGTCGACAGCCGGCGAAGGAAATCGCTTCGAAGCATCGAGTGTCGCAATTTTCAGCATGCATGCCTCGTCTGTGGGTCACAAGGACGTCGCGTCGTCTGTGGCAAACAGACAAAAATTGTACAATCTAAAATTGGTCGGAGACTTGGTAACGCCTCCGAGTGACCAACACCTAATATTTTTTTCTTTTCTCCGTTTCTCTACACTGGTACGGTACTCCGATCACCGCTGCAATTAGTGAACTTGCAAATTTAATTTTATTTGCATTAGGTGGGCTCTGACATGCTAGATAACTCGTTTTAATTAGTCGATGAGTTTGTTTAAAGAGGAAATTGAAAGTCATCAATGGATGAATGTGAAATCTATACGAGTATATTTCGATTCACCAAAATTCGATTCACCAGAGAATATAGAGGAAAATGGTATTAGGAAAAGGAAGATAAATTATATTTAAGCCAGGAGCGAGGCTAAATAAAAACGTTGATACACAAATATTTGCACAACACTTGATTCTAAGGTAATAGAGGTAAAAGCTGCAGCAACACTCTCAATTTGGTTAGATGAGCACACACCGATACACACTCCTCTTCACTCTACTCCATACATACGACAGCAGTCGTAGCGACAAATACACACACACACACAATCTGACCAGATCCAGATGCACGTCCAGAGACCTGCTAAATGTTGCTTATTTTCACAGAGAAAACAAAATCAACAGAAATGCTAAATTGTTTAATTGAATTTACCGCAGATGCGCTTAAGTTGCTAGTAATTTAGCAAAGCCATCTACTCCTATTCCCCATCTACATACATACTTACAACATGTGTATCTGTAACTTTGTGGCGTCTGTATCTGCATCTGTGTCTGGAGCTGATGGTGATGCTGAAGCTGAAACTCTATTTGCAGCGTAACTTGTAGTTGCCGAGACGTGCCAGACTCTCCAGCACATGGACTTGATTGTCGTCGCAATACAAATAGAGCAGCAACAATGCCACGGCAGCAGCAACGAGGATAACCATGGCACAGTTGCGGTGCAATGAAATGTATCTATAAGTTGCACATCTGTATCCCAATGTGTTAGCAATAGTTTGTATGTTCATATGTATGTGTATTGTAGTGTGTGGCTTCTTCCTGTAACTATGCATTAAATTGAAAACGGCAAAGAAAGTGCTCCACAGACGCCAGTTGCGTTGCCGTTGCTTGGCTCGAAGTTGTTACTTGGTTCTAGATTTCTCCCAGGCCCAATTATGTTGCTGCTGCTGTTCGACGAATATTGTGTTTTGTGTGCATCTCAATGTGCTTTCCTTTCTCAATTGGACAGTTTTGCTATGCGGACTGTCTATCTGTCCAGCTGTCCAGCTGTCCCACAGTCTTTCCCTCTGTCTCTCTCTATTCATTGCTCAATGGAAGACCGATAATGCTGTTGGTATTTAAGATGCCTGCGAGGGTACTACCTCATAAGCTGGATGTCAGAGTTCGTCGCGATTTGCATGCCTGCAAGAGGTTGCACAAGCCTCTTGGCTTTTGTAATGTTAATTAATTTGTGCTTAGATTTTGGGGCCCAGAGCGCGCTTCTATTCTACGGCTATCATTAGTTAAAAGTTAGCTGTCGAAGGCTATGACCATTGAGTGACCAGCGAATGTTGGGCAAGTTGACACCTGAACCGACTTCTGTTTCACTTTTTACCGCTCTGAGTTGGTTCGTTTTCGGTCTGGTTCGAAGGTGGGCTTAAAGATCTTGTTCGAACTGCAACATTTGCCTCATCTGCCGCATCTGCCGCATCTGCCGCATTGTGGCTGGCACCTCGCTCTTTTCTAAGAGCAGAGCCAGCACGAGCCCGCGCGCGTGCGCAGCCGGTAAACTCTCTTACGAGCCAGCCCGAGATCGCTCGGTCTCTCTTTCTTTATGCCACACTCTCTGCAAGCTGCTCTGCGTCTTGACCATTTATGTGCTTTGAGAGTGTGTTTGTCCGTGTTTGCGTTAGCTCTTTTGTTGGAAGCCTCTACTTTTCTTTCGTGGCCAACTTCTTGGACTTTCTTGGCAACATGTTTAAAAGTCTTTTGGAAGCGCCAACTCAACGTTCAGTTCGCTGTGAGCGCTTATAGCGTTTGGTGCGTTTTAACGGAAGAATCAGTGCCTAACGAACCGATCCATTAACCAACCCATTCACCACGAACCCACAAGCGAACAAAAAAACCACAGCCAAGCTGAAACAAACTAAAGGATATAATCCATGCGCATGCGATGCGATTATACATAAAGCTCGTCTACAGACATCAAAAGTTGTGCGTGCAATGAGCCGTGATTCGAATGTGTCACGATTTTAATTAAATCGCCAGTTATTAAAAGAGTTGAAACAAAAACAGTTGCATTGAATTTCATCGAACGTGAACCCCACAACAGAGACACGAACAAACAAACAGCGCGTTGCACGTTGCACGGTGCACGGTCCAAACTTGCATCCACGGCGACATCGACATCCATATTCATATTCAGCGCGCGCGAAATTCTTTCTGTTGTTCCTGTTGCAGCAGGACTGTCCTTGTCGTATTGTTTATGGATTTGTCTGCCTTTCCCATTCATGAATTCCTTCTCCTCTAACACGTAGCAGCGACATCAACAGGTAAGCCTTGCATTCCGCCAGGATAAACTTTGCTTAAAATGTTGTTGGAACAACTAAAGCGACATCAGTCAGTGTCGGGTGTTGGGTGCTGGGGCAAACCAAAGCTCCTGGGCCGCAATCACAGCCATTGCAATGCTAGGGCCAAGCTCTGGCCTGTATCCGTATCCGCATTCACTGACACCTCCACGTCCACACCCACATCCACATCCACATCCGCAGCCAAGTGTCGGCAAAGCGGATTACCATATAAATATTTACAAGCTATAAAATGGTTTCCCTCTATCTTGGATGGGTGTGCTATGATGTCCTTTCATACATAGTCCATAATGGCATTGGCCACCTTAATTGGATGATTTTATCTGATCTGGTATCTGTTGAGACGTTGCTGCTGCCACAGCGACCACACATAAGTGAAAGAATGAAATGAAAACTTGTATTTAATTAAGGAAAAGGAGTGGAAAAGAAATGAGGCAGCGGCAGTGGCAGTCTCCAAGCCAGAACCAAGCCATAGCCAAAACCAAAACCAACCCAAAGTAAGACAAAGCGGGGAGCAACAAGCCCACGGGGCAGGCGCGTAAAAAGTCAACGGCAGCAGCAGCAGCAACAACAAGTGCAGCAAAAACAAGTACCACATACAGATACACACACACACAATTTACACAAACACACATTCAGAGAGGGAGAGAAGAGGGAGAGAGACAGATACCACACACGTGTAACTGGAAACAAGTTAAAATGCCTCGACTACATTTGGTCAAGTTTACATGAAGCAATGGACAGGCCACAGTCCCGAGGCCGAGAACTGTTCTCCGATTCTTGCCCAGAGGCAAGTTGATGTCGAAACGGGCGTTACCCGGTAGAGAGCGAACGGCGGCAATGTGATTTTAATGAACTACTAAAAACTAAACCCCAAACAAACATAAACCGACTTGACTCCCTTCTAGATTGCATTATGACCCCACTTCCCCTGCAACGACAATCAGCAAAAGCAACAGCAACAACGGTGGAAAGCTTGGCAAACAATGCGGCAATCTGTTTTATATTTATGCAAGCATCCTGCCACCATTCCCAATCCCAATCCCACTGCCAGCTGTCCGTCGGTGGACATTATACTCAGCTCTGTCCATGGCCAGTGCCATAGAAAGAGCCAAAGCCTGGTAAGAGACTTAAGCCGACAGCCGCCAGTGCACAAAATGCAGAACACTTTGAGTTACTTTCTAAATAGCATTTTACTCAGTCGCTGTGGCAGTCGCAGTCGCAGTCGCAGTCCCAGTGCCTGCCCCAGCCACTAGCTGGCTGAGATTAGTGCAGTTACTACAGTTGCATCCACATCCACAGTTGCCGTTGTTCTTATTGCGGTTGCTGTTACTGTTGCGGTTAAATAAATAAAGCAGCGTGACTCCAATGGCTCAGTCCCAGCTTTGGTCTCGCAGTCACTCGCAGTCTCAGTCTCACATCCATCTGCGTTCACTTTGGTACTTCTTTGCAAACAAGAGATTCCACGGCAGCAACAATCAGCTGCTGCGGAGCTGAGATGATTTAGAAATTATAGATGCGTTCACTTTGCGTTCCAGCCCACTTCCTTTTGGCCTGGCCCAATTAGTCGTGGTCTCGCCTCCCCTTCCATGAACTACTGCTGCAGGCCGAACCCAACCCAACCCAAATGAGCTCTCAACTGTTCGAGGACTGAGAAGCTGAGAGGCCTCAGCATGACGTTCCGTCTCATCTGACACTTTGGCAATCATAACTTAGCCAAGATTAGCCATGGTCCTGACTATAGCTCCTTCCTTGGCTTGCTCTCTGTCCCTACTTCCTGGCCTAGTGCCAGTATGAGCCAAGACTTGGCTGAGCTCTTGCATAAGCAGCTGATAAACTTGCACGGAGTCAGCTTATGGCGAATGAGCACGCCAGCACCATTAAAAACTGCTGCATTTTAATTAATCAAGTTAACAAACGGAGGCAGTGCAGCAGCATCAGCATCAGCAGCAGCATCAGCATCAGTAGTGGCATCATCTGTCAACAACAATGCGCGCCACAAACTAATTACATGCTTCCCTGTGGTGGAGTGTGGGGGGGAATGAATGTTAGTACTCAGCGGCGAATAGCAAGCATAAGACCAAAATCCAAAACCAAGACTGTGCGGGCGGGCTCTTCGTTGAAAGGTTTGCATACGATGCGGCTGTGTGCAGTGTATGTGCGATTACCAAATTAGATTTCTGTCTAATTATGGCATTGGAACTGCAGCACAACAAAACTCGAAGAAATTGCAACTGAAATGAATAGTCTCGTTGGTGGCAGGCAAAAGTTTGCTCAAACGACGACAAGCAAAACTCTGGCCAAAGTCAGGAGAACTTCGCTTGGCTCTGGCTCCAGCTCCAGCTCTGGCTCTGATTCTGAGGATACAGCACTTAATAATAATTAAATAATTTTCGCCAATTATAGAGCCAGAACACAGCACACGCACACAGCCATATAAATGGGCTTGGCTTAGACACTGCATCTGTATCTTTATTTGCGTCTGTTTCTGTCTCTGTGCCTTTATTTTTTCCCCTTGTTTGCTACTGTGCATGCCAAACTAATAAATAAGATTGCTTTTAATGAAGAAAAAGAAAATTGTTGCTCCAGTTCCAGGCCCAGTGCCACTCTCCGCTAAGATTCAAACTCAGATGTAGATTGTGCTTCGAGCCAGCAAGAAGCCAGCGATTGCAGTTGCAGAACAATGTTTAACTTCGGCCAAAGACAATGCAAATAGCGCTGAATGATCCTCCGCTTCAGTCTGGTTCTCTCCTTTCCTGCTGCTGGATCTAATAATCGTATGCGGGTTCAATTTAATTTGTAATTGAATATGGAAACATTATTCAAATGGAAATTAAACACAAATCTCAGTAATTACTCGGGATAATAGGATTTCTCATTCCCCTCACTCTCGCTTTACATTTCAGGCATTAATTTGGCCCCTAGTTTCAGAAGTTTCATCCAGCAGGCAGCAAGGATGTATGTGCTGCTGCCTTCTGATGCTTGTTACGGAGCAATTTCCCGTGGCAAATTTTGTAGTCACCTGCAGCTTTGCAGGCAATGAAAGTGTGTTCTTGGTCGTCGGTTGCACGGCTTTAGGGTACACACATAGAGACAGGTTAATTTGAAAGCATTTGAAAGTTTTTGACGCTAGTTACCGAGTATTTGGGCTTCGGTTGCAGCCCGGCTGAGTTGGAGTCAGAGTGGGAGTCAACAGCAAAATGCAGAGGCATCCACGTCATGGCCTGACGTTGACTTGTGGTCATATTGCTGGCAATACGAGTACGAGTACCAGTACACCCATTGCACACCCCCGATATGTGGCACATGTCATGGGAAATTTCGGTGAGCCAGTCAGCCAGAGTTGTGCAATCATGGGAGTGAAATATTTTACTTTGTTCATTGCAAATTTATTAATAAACATTTTTCACTGTTGCTCGGCTAACGACACGGCGCGACGGTGAGCCAGACCCCGAGCCCCTTTGCCAGCTTCCCACTTGGCGCTGTGGAATTTTTAATTTAATTTATATATTGGATTGGTCGAGGGGAGCTCGAGTTGCGTGCATTGCCAAGTTCTGCTTCTAGACGGTTTGGCCTTTAACTGGCCCAGAGCTGGCAACGTGACGCTAGACACGAACGGCGAAGGAGCACCATAAACAGAACCAGAGAGGTGGAAGCGGTTGACCCGCCTTTGTTGTCCCATAATAATTTCATTTGTGTGGTACAAGTGGAGATTCGGAATAACTCATGCGCATCTGTGTTAATATTATGGCAGTCTCTGCTGTCGGACTACCGACTACCGAATACCGAATACCACTACCACACTACCGAACGAACCCTTTTCGCAAGCCCAACCCCACCAACGAGCCGGATGACTTTGAACTTTTGACACATTTGGCAGTTGGCTGTCATAGTTTGCCATGGGGTAATAGGTCACTGGGGAATTCATGCTCGGCTGGAACCAAGTCCATCCCTTTTCGGCCGGGAAACAAGAGCTCCTCGGCTACATAAATTCTTTATGCCTCAAATTATGAGACTTGACCCATGGCCCTGCCCAAACAAAAAAACAAACAAAAGCAACCAAACACAAGAAACAAGCAGAAACACAGACAGACAGGCGGACAGATAGACCTGACACACTGACGCCCTGACAGACAGATTGTGTTTTGCATTTTGTAATCGGTGGACAAGACTCGAGATGCTATGCCCCATCTGACCTTCAGTGGGTGTAGCACTTCTGTTAACTGTGTTATTAAGCCTAATTAAGCGGCTTATTCATCTGTCGCACTCATCCCAAGCGTCTGCCCCACAAGCCAGCCCCAGTAACCACAGGCCACATTTCATCATCAGCGCCCATCGAACACACAATCGCTGGTTGAATGCCGCAATTTATTTTGTATCACATTAAGAGGGGGGCGTAGCATAGCATAGCGTATTCATTCCATTGTAAAAATGCTATATAGCTTACAATAATATATTAATAATAACAATACAGTACAACAGAAAATTCGATGAACGTTATTGCGATTTTCTTTATCAGCGTTTATGCAATCACTTTCACAAAATACAAATTGAATTACCATTGCCATGTCCATTTCCATTCGTATCACACGAACAAAAAGGTAAACAATCAGATGGATGGAGGAAGGGAGGGAGGTCGAGGAAAAAAGTATCGGAAAATGTAATTAATCATTGTGCAAATATTATTCGCTCTTGTGCACCCGACTTTAAAGCATTAATTGAGAATTTCATTTGCTACAAGCGGTGCATGTCAGAGATAGCACTCAACTCATCCGGGATGATTAATTTGTTGACCCTTTGAGCGATGCATTTAGTGGCAGGATCCGACGACCTGACCATCGCATTCATGAGTTGGTCAATCAGCACTTAAGAGCTTTTCCGAGCGGCCGCTAACAATATGCTTGCTGCCCTTGCCACTGCCATAATCCATTAGAAAAAGTAGCAAATTATGATTTATTGCACTTTTCCCGAAGAGTGGAAAATTTTCATGAGAGCCACAAAGTGTGCGACCGCTCCAAAGCATGTTCCGTTGAAAGGAGACCCGAGGAGCAGCTTTGGCAGCAGAAGGCCAACGAGGAGAAGGAAAATACGAAGGCGAAGGCGAAGGCGAAGGAGCTGCCGCTGCGGCTCTCATAAAAGGCAACACAAAAAAAAACTCCTAAGTAGCATACGAAAATGTAAAACTCTTGTAATGACGGTAAACACCACCTCTTCGCTCTGCATATTTATGGGTCTGGGAAAAGTTTTTGTTTCGTTTTCGGCTATGGTATAATAAGTATACTTGTATATAGTACACTCCACTACTGCATTGATGATGTCGCTGCATTTGGGGAGGAGGGATCCCCTAACCAATTAGTGCTCCATTTACGAGTCAATTTGACAGACCAAATCTCAGATCTAAGGTCGCCTGAGTCCCAATTATACGCACAAGAAATATGCGTGTTTGTGATCCGTCTCGAGACTTGTGTTTTTTTCCATGCTTAACGAGCACACAATCGGGTCTTGGCCTCTCTGTTTGGACGCATTACTCGTACTCGCAGATAATGGGTTGTCCGAGTATTAGATTGGTACACACCCGCGGCTTACAAAGCCAATGAAGCGTCAGCTGAGCATCGGCTTAGTTAATAACTTTGACCGAAATACCAGAGACCAATAACCGAAAAGTAAGTGTCATTAGCATATATACTTAGCACAAGAACCTGTTTCCCCTGTCACTCTTTGTTGTGTCTGCTGTTAGAGTGCTCAAAGAAAAGAAAAGAAACTAAAAGAAAGGCAGGGAAAAGAAGAGCAGCGCAGCAGCAGCTGTATGGAAATGGGTCAAAAAGTTTCCAATTGATTGAATTTCATTTCAATTAGCACATCCGAAACGATGAGCAATATTGGCATATATGCAATCAACAATTTTATGGATGAGAATCAAGTGCCAGCCTCTCCGCTAGATTGATGTCTCAATTATGGCTGCTCCAAAGCCGTCAAGAATGCAGCTCGAAACGGGCACAAATTGAATGACTTGGCATGCAGAAGGTAAAAAAAAAAGCAGAAACATATATACAGACGGAAACTGAAACATTGGTGGCGATGACTAGCATGGCTTCCATGGCAGCTGGCGAAAGGCGCATAATAAACCATAATGACAAAATTACTATATTTAGTATGCTAAAAATCGGTCAAAGTGTCAGTAGGTTGTCCACCACAGTCCGCCTTCATTAGTAGCCAGCACACAGATAGACAGACACAGGTCTAGGCAGACACAGATCGCTGATGATTTTGCTCTCACTTTGGCCAAAACGCCTGCGCTAAGTAACATGATATTGCAATTTTTGGTATTAACTTCTTTTCACCTGAGCGATGAGTCTGCACCTCTTCTGCCGCCTCTTAGCGACCTCTTCAAGAGCATGTCTAGGCCAGGCATCTGCTTCTGCTTCTGCTTCTGCTTCGGCTTCTGCCGATTTACCGTGCGTGACCAATACATGAAAATCTGCCGTTTCCGCACCTCTCTCCAACGTTTATCATTTCGTCGCTTTGCTTCTCCCTCTAGCTCGGTGAGGAAACTTTCATTTTTGCCGCTGTAGAATATCAATGTACAATGGACATAATAAAAAGCGTATCGAACACATCAATAGGTTATTGGCATATTTGTGCTGGTTTCTGTGGTTGTTGTACTTTACAGCGCTTTGTTTGTTTCCCCATTCATCGTCTGCTCTCGAGTGGGCACAAGCGGCTCAAGTTGATTGCTAGAGCTCCTCTCGACGTCTTGGGTTTCCTCTCGACGTCTTCCTCTGGCGGCTGGTGGCTGGCGACTTCAAATGCCTGCGCTGTGGTGTATATTTTGACGCGCTTTGAGAGACGGTGCTCTTGAGGGCTGTAAGCACCGTAATTAGTAGCAGCTTAGCGGACCGCAAACAATGCAGAAGCCGATCAACATGTGTCGTATTGCATCTGGCTGCATCTCTCAGCCATCGAGAGTTCGTGACGTCGACAAGGGCGGCACTTGGTTCGACTTACACTCAGAACAATAGTAGAGGAGAACTAAAGAGTCGACAGGGTCCCCAAAGTGGCGCACAGGCAAGAGAGCCAATTCGGGAAAGAAAACAAAAATAAACTTGCACAGTATGTTTGTATTTGAGCCGATGAATCAAAGTCACGACCCAAAAGTTTTCACAAGTTCATTATTATTACCCAGTATCTAAAGCTGAACCAGAGATACCGTGGAACTCACAATTTTCTGTCAAATTATAAAAGTAACGTCGCACTTGTTCCGAAAGTAATAGTTTTTAGTACATGCTCGTTTGTCTAAGTGTAGAAAATGTATATCATATTCACCAAATATTCATTTAAATATGTAAAGAACAATTGATGATAACAGCAGAAACTACAGCAGCGTACAATTCATAAGGCTTGGATCGCTCTCCTTCCTTCTTCCGACTGGAGCCAACACCATATTCCCTCCCAAGTTATTTGCGAATGCCAGGTATGCAGACCTGGACACAAAGATACCCACTCACACAGAATTTTGAGATGATTTTTGGTAACGTTATAAAAATTGAAAGCTACGCATTCAGGTGACCTACATTCGCAGCATGCCAGCTCCAGATCCAGCCTCAGCCTCAGCTCCAGCTCCAGTCGTGGCTTCTGGTTTGGCATCAAGTTCATGTTGCTGTTGTTTTCGGTTTATTTTTGGTTTTTGGTTTTTTTTTTTTTTTTTGGCCAGGGGCTTGTTTTGTTCGCTGTCAGGTATTGGAACATGTTGGTCCCCCAAAAACAACGGCATCAACAGTGTCTGGCCGTTTTATTTATGCTTTGGGGCTCTCTTCTTTCATTTTTGGCTTGAAATCAATCTCTCGGCCATGCCGGAGCAACTTAAGTATTTCAATTCGTGTAATTTTGTTGCTTACTTTTTGCGATGCCTTTTTTTGTACACAAGTTGAATTTTAAATAAAAGATTTGACGCTTTCGTTTGCTCCGAAGAATGCCGCAGGCAAATGCGATTTTATTGCCGCCCACCTTTTGTGCCCCGGGCTTTGTTAACGTCATTATTAACTTTTGGTCATTCCTTTATTGAACTTCAATTAGCAACGACCCAGCAGGGCCGCATTTCCGCCGGCACTTCAACCAACTCTACTCCCCACCGATGCTTTCATTCATCTGCCTTCTGCTTTTTTTACATTTTTGGGAAAGTGAAGCAATTAAATTTTAATTGCCATGCCAATGAGGCGACAGCAGACAACGACAGACCATCGATTGGCACGTGCAGCGCCAATTGGCAGGGCCTAATTATGTAAAGCAGCCGCAAAACTAACTTATTCACTGCAAATTACTTATATTCCACTTAATTAATTTACTCACCCCCTTTACACACCCACCCACTCACCTTCAAACCTTTGCAGGTATCCCCCCTGTAGAGATGAATGCGCGGCTAGCGGACTAGACTTATTTGGTGAGTGCTAACACAGAGTTTCATGTTGAATTTTAATAGCTGTCAAATGTAATTAGAATATTGGTTTTATACGGGTGGTCTTTCTGCCTTTCAGTAAGTATTTTTAACACCAACACAATCGGCAGTCGATTCAGTAAATTCATTCATAATAAATTCAAAAGTAAACGCAGAACTTAGATTTTACATATATTTTAAGACAGCTTAATGCAAGACTTATCAAAATAAGAAATATTGTTTAACAATCTACGTATAAAATCAAATAAGTGCATTATAATAATCCAAACAACATTTATCATTTGACTTTAAGATACTTCAACTTGCCCCTTAAAAAGGAAATCTTTTATTTCTGTAACAGCTGTAATTAAGCACAAACATTTGAATAATATTTAGCGGTGCTCTGTGTGATTTTTCAGTTATATCCGTTTAGATTTAGGGAAAAAGGCAGCTGGTGGGGGGATTTGCATAAACCCCCGTGAAGGTTTTTGATACCCGGTACTCGATGAGTAGATAGGGTATATTGTATTTGTGGGCGAAAGTAGATGTACAATCATATATACATATGTAAGGCACAGAAGGAAGCGTTTCCGACCCTATAAAGTCTTGAGCAGCATCAATAGCCGAGTCTATATCTGTCTGTCTGCCTTTCCGTCTGTCTGTCTGTCCGTCTTGTTTGACACCTGCTCCTAAGAAACTATAAGAAATAGAGTCACCAAATGAACACTCATTTGATTTCTACTGAATCAAGTTTGTTTCAAAATTTTGGCCCGCCCACTTCCGAAATTTCATTTATTTTAAAGAAATGAAAAAACTAAAAACGCAATTTCGTAGAGAATGGAAGAGAGAGAATTTTAAATCTTACATTTTTTGATGGTCTGATAGTTATTATATCAGACCATCAAAAAATGTAAAATTTTAAATTCGAAAAATTTCACTATGGCTCAGTATACTGACGGACGCGTACGAAGCGTCTCACAAAAGTTCCTACTCGTTTAAAAGTGCATAGTAACTCTATAGTTTTGCCGCACACTGGTAAACACATATCTGGTTCCAGGGTCCAGGACCCACACACATCCCAACACTAAAATGGATTGAGAGAGAGGGAGACTGCATGCCCCAGTGCATCAGCATGGCTAAATGGGTATGCAGGTTTGACATGTGGAAAAGTGAAATTTATTGCTAATTCAAACTGCCAAAACTTTCAAACATTTTATTGAAAAGCAACGAACACGAGCTCTGCCAACCAAATTATTTCGAATGTCAACGGCGAAATCACACGGGCTGCCAGCTTACGCTTGCTGCCACGAAATGCAAATAAAATCAAACATACAGCGCTCACAGGAACGGCACGGACTTTATAGAGAGTACGAGTATCTGTCCTGCAGCAACATCAATGGCAACAGCAACAACAGCCGCATCTGCAACAACAATCAACAGGGCGAGCTGCCAAATGAAATGTTAGGGAAAATCAAACATTTTTTGCACATTGAGCTTTTAAGCCGCTAAGGGCAACCGGGAGAGCAGGCGAACAGCGGAGCGGGTTCGAGCACATGTCACTCTTCAGATACTCGTACTTTGATGTGCGTCGACCAAAAACAAACACAGTATGGCGGCTGTCATAGCTCTATAGTATAGAGTCTAAACCACTACGTCCATACTCCGCGATACCAAGTTTGTAGAGTTCAACTGTCCATTTGTTTGCATATAAAAACAGCCCGTCGAATTGAAATGTACCAAATGTATTTGTACATAGAGGGTATAAACATATATATGTATGTATATATGTATGTAGAGGATTCTTTCAAATAAGGTCCAGTCTGAGGGCCTGAACCGCAGCGCTTTTCCACTCTCCTGGCTCAACAAACAGGCGGCATCGGAATTCGCGACGTGGGTGGAATGGAGAATGCAATTGGTTAGCTTTAAAATTCAAGTATTGAAGAGAATGTCTACCGTATTTAGTGTTTAAGTAGGTTATTAAAAGGATTATCCTTTTAATACGTCATAATACATCCTTTTATTAAATAATTACATTTTAGAAATCCACGTTTAATTAATGCCAAATGAGGTTTCACACAAAATATACTCTCACGCTTAAGAATAATATTATTATTACCATTACTATTCGAATTATTGTTCCCATTATTATTACCGTTATTTTCTCTCTTCGAAAGTCTACCCATTCAGTCAATATGGCATATTTTTTATCTCAATCAAATAGTTTTTTTCTTATTCAATAATGAAACCGAATTGAACTTCTGGCCGAGTAACAAAAAGTAAATAGCTCTCTGAATATTTTTCTGTATTTCTTTTTTGGGCAAACAATTTCGAATTTGCGTTGAATTCTTTGACGGAAAACTTTTCTGCAGCCGATCGAAAAAATTTAGAAATCCCGACCATTCCATAGACTTTGATTGGATCAGCGGGAGGAAAAAAAGAACAGAGAAACAAAATAGTTAGGAGGCAAAAGTCGAGTATTTGGCACACTCAAGCCGCGTATCCGGGCTAATGAAGCTATTAGGAACGGCTCTGTTATTGACCATTATTGACACTGCTCTGCAGTTGGCTCGGGATTCGTTGGTCCTTTTTGGAGGACGGGAAATGTACGTTTTCCGCATCCAGCTACAACAGTACAAATATTTTTTACTTGATTTGTTCGGCGTCCGTGCCCATTGCCCACCCTGTCCTGCCGGAGTTGGGAACGAGTTTATGCCAGTTGGTTGATTTCTGTAGCATTTCCGTTTTGTTTCATTTTAATTCTCGAACTGCTCTTTGACCATTTTTGATGGCAAGCGCACAAATACACAAATACACAAATACACAGAGGAAAGGAGAAGGGGATAGAGGAGAGTCAAGAGTCGATGGTCGGTCTGGTTCAGAAAATGAAATAAAATGTTTGACTATTGGCGGAAGTGCGCCATAAGTTTATTTCTTGTGCGCCATTTTGTTTACATATTTCTGTGACTGTGTGTGTGTGTGTGTGTGAGTGCTGCAAGCTCTTGGCAGAGGCCGATTGCTTTTAGTTTTGGCCCTGTGTTAGTGTGTGTGGCTTATTGGCCTTTATGCGCCATAATGTAACGGAAATTGTCCAAGTTTTTAAAGGCATAAATATTTAAGTCCCCCGCTGCTGTGCTGCGAAACTGTTGCTGCCCCTAGCTAAATGTTCAATTTACTGCCCCCTAGTTCCAGCTCCGCTTGCAGCTGTAAGCATGTACTACTGCAAGTACATGTACGTATGTTTTTGTAGCCATAGCAGCTGCTGGCAGCCATTAATATTTTTCAACTATTTGCATAAATTAATGCGCGCACACAAAATGTTGCCAAAATATTACCCAGTGCTCTCTGCTCGTTGGTCCTTGACTGTTCCTCCTACTGCTGCAGCAACTTATGGTCCTGCTTCTCCCACCCTTCAACTCTTACGAGTGCAAGTCTTATACACAAACAGACATATGTACATACATACGTATGTACATACGTGCATACGTACGTCGCCAGGGGCGTGGCATGTGGGTCAGATAAACTCGGCTCAGAAGTGCTTCTGGCTTAAAGAGACTTTTAACAGCGATTTAAAGCGCCTTTGTTTGAATTTGAGTTTCGCATGCGCCAAAGTTTTTGCATACGAATTTGAAATGAAATTTCATATCGGCCGCTGGCATATTATACCTAAATATGTACATACAAGCATGCAAATGTACAAATGTTTGTGTGTCCACAATATTCCGTCGAAAGCTTATCTATTCTGGCACATGATGGGAATCCTTACAGCAGGGCGTTAATTCACAATTACATATATATGTATGTATGTATGTTAGTACATACATGTGCTTAAAGGGGGGGAAAGGTAAGTGCAGCTGCTGCTACAGCATTTTGATGCAACCCCAAAATGCATAATTTGCTCGACCAGGCATGAGAAACCTTCTTGGAAGTGGGTGCGGTGCCCAGAAGAGCACATAAATATGAAATTACTGTAATCCCATTTACACTGAGCTCAATCTAATTCCTATTTGTATATCTGACAAAGCATAAAGGCGACCTCTAGCAACTCCACCATTGACTTTTCCCACTCACATCTAGAAATTTGAATTTCTAATTTCTAGTCAAAATTTTCACCCGCTGCATCTAAATTTTCCCCACTGTTTCATGAGAGTCGCCTAGTGTGGCTGGGACTGGGGTTGTGGCTGGGGTTGGTAATGGGGCTGGGGCTGAATGGTAATTGAGTTTTTAGTAGCTGTTAGCGGTCCCACACCAACTCTTTGCGCCACTTAATGGCAAAGATGCACATATAGGGCAACATCAAACACCAGCGCATTGTTGTTCAAATTAACTATGTGCCTGTGAAGTAAATGTGTGTGTGTGTGTGCACACAGATCCACGCGAAGTACGCAGTGAAGTACGTGCAACGCTGCGTAACCCCGAAAATCACGTTTGCCAGGCACTGAAATGCAAGTTGAAGTTCCATGCCACAGACAGCAGGAGCAGCAGCAGCAGCAGCAGCAGCAGCAGCAACGCGTTGCAACGTGAGAGGCAGCGACAACCAAATCAAATTTGCACCAAAAACCAAAGGTAAACTTTGAGCGCTACTGGCGACCACACGCACATACATAAAAAGATCCACACAGCTTCACGCGTATGTACGTGCATATGTATGTATGTATTGCATGTAGTAATAGCAAACACATACAGACACACAAATTCGCACGTCGCTTATTTGGTAATTTGCGTGAGTGCGAAAATGCATTGCGTGTTTGCCTAACCTGTGTGTTAGTGTGCTGGTGTGTGTGTATTTCCTGCTGCAAAGTTCATAAACTTGAACACACACCTGAGGCCACAAGCCTACGAGGGGGACACACCCACTGGCACAGGCACAGGCACAGGCACAGACCGCTGCGATAGCGCCTTAATTGAGTTATCCAGACATTTTTGGCAGCAAACTTTAAGCCCAAGTGCGGTCAGAATACTAGTTTGCCCAAGTTCCTGTCTGTGGCACAATAAATTCGCATAATAAA